AGCTATCAACAAAATCTTAATATACAGTAAGGGCTCAATGCCATATATAGGCCACATGTATGGTTGTTATTAATTTGCAAGTATCTAATTAATAAGAATTTGATCTTGGGCTTTCATCTACACCGTTCTGGTGCAGAATTTTATTATTTTGGTTTAACAGAGTTCTGGTGGCCAACAATGGCATTGTTATATTTTCCAGCGAAAGTTAAACCATAAAATTAGCACGATTTCTTTTTAGTTAGTCATGATCAAAGATACAGCACACAGAACCTCAAACACATATTCATTTAATTTAATTAGAAAAGGAGCCTAACCCACCTAGCAGAATGTGTTCCTTGTTCTCAAGCCACGAGACAGTCCTAATCGCCATCTCCTCATGTTGTGACTCGTTTTGGTCAAGCTGCTCACCAGCAGCTTTGGCCTAAACTTTGTTATAACTCTGTCTACACTTCCTATTTTAGTTGGACTTGAAATTGAGCATTTGATTTCATCTAATTTGGTCTGGATCTGTTACTTCATGTTTAACCAAGCTTTCAGACATTTGAATTATGGATGTGCTTTGAAAGTACTGCTGGAGGATCCGTGGAGATGTTCCATTATGGATGCTTAGTGAGATGCAACGAGAATTATGAAATCATTGCTGATGATACAGAGGATGCAGACAGTACTTTTGTTTTTTCGGATACTGCTAGCTGCTACTACGGTCCTTAATGACACTACCTGGAAGGAGTTTTCCTGCATTGAACAAGCAATGGCATGGTTTTGATTTTGCTTTTTCCAGCATTCTTGTGTTTCTTGGTTGAACAAGTATGCTGCTTCGATTCTGTCCTTCGTATTTGTTTAGCTAAATAGCACGTTAATGTGTCTAATTAATTAACCATTTAATTATTTTTTTGGCCAAAAAGCCTGTTATCTAATTTTATTTCATTAGTGTTAGTTAATGTATTTAATGTGCTTTTTCATGGAGTTTTTAATCGAATGATGGTATTGTAAGAGCAATGAAAACATGTTACGAACACACACATGATGTTTTGTTTAAAAAAAAACCACCAAAAACAAGTAACAGTACCTCAAAATTAAACAAAAAAGAAGCTGGAAACATTAATTATAAATATCTGCTAGCTAGATAGAAGTTTCTATGCTTTTATGATAAAGAAAGAGAAGAAGAAGAAAAAGAAGAGAAATTTATTAAAAGCATCATGTCTTTTGAGTGTGAGAAAGCTCTGCATATCTAGTTTATAGAAATTATAGTTTTGATTTTATATTACACCTTGCATCCATTAAATTGGTAATATTACAAGTTTTTCATTATGATATTCTAATATCTAAAGTGCTCTTAATTATATCTTGAAATATATTTGTTTATCGTTGATTAGTTGTTGTAGTGTAATTTTAAAAGTAACAATTGTACTTGATTTCTTGTGTTTTTAAAGTATTGTTTGGTAATATCGCTCATCATTGTTTATTAAAAAAATAATTTTTTTAAAATTTTTTTTTTGTATTTTTAAATCGTTTTGATAGAATGATATTAAAAATAAATTTTAAAAAATAAAAAATAAATATTATTTAAATACATTTCTATACAAAAATACTTAAAATAAATATTATTTTAATACATTTCTATACAAAAACACTTTGAAAAATAATTACTATCACATACCACTAAATTTGATTTTCTTATTAATGTAACTTGCATGGGTTGAACATTAAAAAGACAATAAATTCTAATCTCAATATCATTTTCTAAAAATAAAAGAATTGTAATTAGTAATTATCGTAATTAGATTTAAATTAAAAGGGGAAGGATTTCTATCTTATTCTGAGACAGTTATGTTGTACCACCACATTTTAATCTCCTAGAAACCTTTTTTTTTTTAACTATCATTATTGTCGCTTTTACGGCCCCTAATCAAACTAGAATTATCCTCAACACCTTTGTAGTTTGTCATCTTTACCACCTTTACTAGTCCTGTAATTTGCAACATCACTATCTGTATCAGCATTAACTATTATAAATGCTATCAACCCACTCATACTTATTTTCATCTAAAAATTTAAATTTATTTTATATGATAAAATATAATTGTCAAACTTAACTCCAACTATTTTGATCGGTTAACTTGATAGGATATAATACGCATATAATACAATATTAATTATGAAGGCTAATTATTTGGTCAATGGTTAAAGAACCGCATATTTAAATCGTGCGCTCTAATTGTAGTTGGTTACAGTTTATTGTATACTAATTATTCTTGTTTATTGATAATCATCTACAAAACCTAGGGAAAAGCTTCGTTTATAAATTAGTTAGCAGCCAAGATCATCATAAATATCAAGCATATACAAGTTTCATTCAATAGAAACACAATTAAGTATAGGATTAATCACTTGTGTGCAAGGGGGTGTGTGTGTCAGCACGAAGGAATGCGTGCATGCATGGGATGACGCCAGAAAACGAGAAATGAAAAAAGGTGCATGGGGGATCGAGGGTGTCAAGCTCCTTGATAGTTGCTCCTAGTATAATGATAAGGCAACAGCTAAAGAGCAGAATATATTGCTGTAAGCAAGCGACGGTAATTATAGGAGGCAAGTGAAGTGAATTGGGTTGATATTTGGTTTGTTATACAGCAAATAATGCAAGTTAAGGGTGGGTTCTGCTAAAAAAAATGAACAGTGGAGGTTGTTGTTGACGGTAGGCGAATAGGAGGATTGGCGGTGGTTTGCGAAGGACGCTGCTGGTCGTTCTTCCCTTTTCTCTGTATTTTTCTTTTGCCTTTCTTTAGGTTATCTCTTCTCCCTCCCTCTATTTTTCTATTCTTCTCCATTTGTTCTCTAGTAGTGACGGTGCTGTTGGTGGGAGTTGGTGATGGTTCACAGCAAGGAATGGTTCTTCTTTCAAACGAGGTGGTTGTGCAATGGGGAGCTGCTGCATTGGTCGATGATTTTTCTTATTCTATGTGTTTTTTCCTTGTTTTATCTTTGTTGTAACTCTTATCTGTTTATGTTTTCTGCCTCTTTTCTCATTTTTATTTCTTTTTTTTTTCCCCTTTATCTTTTCTTGTTTTGTTCTTAAGTTCTCAAGTTCCCTTGCTTCTCTCTCTCTTTTGTTCTTCTTTTTCTTTCTTTCTCTGTATAATCTCACCCGTTTTTTTTGTCCCATGCTCTTCTCTCCCCCCTAGTATTTATAAAGGGAAAAGGAGAAAAGAGAGCTACTATCCCTGTCTAGTTATGTCGCAAAGGTAGGGCGGTTGGGGCGACCTTTATATAGTGCCCCAGAGTAGCCTACAGGGCATGGTTCTCCTGGCTTTTTTATCATGGTAGGAGGCCATAAATGGGTATAGGTTGTGTCAGGATTTTGGGTTTTTGAAAAAGAGAGGGAGAAAGCTAAACGAACAATGCAAAGAAGGGGAAGAAAACCCTTCTTTCCTTGTCTTTGCGCGTTAAGGAAGAAGAAGATATATAGTGTTGTTCAAAACAACATCATTTTAGAATTTTTTATGAATAATGCATGAAACGATATCATTTTAAACAAAACATGTCATTTCATTTAAAAGAAAATGACACCAAAATATGTTAATTTTCAAATCAATTTTTAATTTTTTATTTATTTAATCAAGCTCTCAATTATAATTTTAATTTTAAGAATCAATTCAATTATATCCCTGTCAAAATTGAATGTCAACTCTAAAGTTGGCTATCTTTTTCACTTTGTTTCTTGGTTTCGGACATTTAACAAATATTTAATAATATTTGGCAATAAGATTTTATTTTTAAAATATTTAATTTAATTACCATAATACAAAATGAGATGATATTTAACAAATAAGATCTCCAAAATAATTTGTAATTGGAAAATCTTTTAATTCTACAAGCATAGCTATTACTATGCAAGTTATGATCATTCTAGTGGCCTGGAAGCCTAAATTAAATAAATATAATAAATATATAATAATTAATAGCATGGTTTAGCAACAAAATACTCAAAATTTGATTTAAAAATAAATAAATGAGAAAAGGTCCAACAAGACTTTTTTCACTATATAATTATAAGAAATTAGAGTTGTTAGAACTCAACATTCATCAAAGAAAGCTAACTTTTCTCTGTTTACTTAGATTGAGTGTTGAAATCATATTGATAAGTGGTTAGTTAACTCCATTCTTATAATGTTGATACCAGGTTGCTGAGATTGCTTGCCGTCAGTTGAAAGTATGGGACTAGTAGCTATATTACTCTTTTTCTGGGTGGTTTTTCCTCGATCGCATTTGTTTTTTTTTGGTGTGGAATAAAAGCGGTAATACTTGTGGCCTTCTAGAGAGGGACACACTGTCATATTAGCCCCCCCCAAAAAAAAACCCCCCCACCAAGATTTTTAAAATAAAATACACTAATCAAAATCTCTTATTAACGATAATGGATCCTCCAACTTATGGTGCTGTTTAAAAATAAAAAAAAGTGCCAAAATAATAAGAGGAGTGGGAATACTCGAGTGGGAATACTCAATCAATTAAAATGAATATTTTTTTACGGAAAATGGATTTTCATTTTTAATTTTTATTTTTCTTTTTTTCTTTTGAGTTTGTTTGAAAGTGTAGTCGTGATTACTTTTTAAATAATTTTTCGTGTCAAAATATAAGTCAATAATTTTTTTATTTTTTAAAAATTATTTTTAACATCAGCATATTAATATTAAAATAAAATAATTTAAAAATATTAAAAAGATATTAATTTAAAATAAATAAAAAATTTTAAATTTTAAATTTTTAAAAAATATTTTTAAAATATAAAAACAATCCGGCCTTTCGTGACAATGATTAATATTTTTATTTATTTATTTTTAATTTCTTTTGGAGATTTGATCCACGATTAACACTTTGACTTGAGTTTTGTCGTTCTCACCTTCCTAACTGGATACCAATAATGCCATGCATCGTTGCCTGCGTCTGTACTTTGCTGAGCTGTCCTTCGTGATTTTTCCATATACAGTGATTTGTCGATCGCTGTGTGAATTGTGAAGTCATGGAAATCTTGAAGGAAAACATAAAAGAAGAAATTCATGTGCTCATGGTGGAATTCCCATCTCAGGGTCACTTAAACCCCATGCTTAGACTAGGAGAACGCTTAGTCAAAAAAGGTCTCCATGTCACACTGGCCACCACTGAATTCACCCGTCACCGCATGCTCAAATCTTCCACCATCAACCCCACCTTCTCCACCATCTCAATCTCTGGAGTCCAAGTTCGCTTCTTCTCTGATGGTCAAAGCCTATACTACGACCGCAAGGTTAATTACGAATCGTACATGAAGAGTTTAGCCAAATTTGGAACCATCAATCTCTCAAACCATATAAAGGAGCATTTCCCCAGTACTGGTCACAAAAAGCTCTCTTGCATCATCAACAATCCATTTATTACCTGGGTAGCTGATGTTGCCATCAATCATGGAATTCCCCGTGCCATGGTTTGGATACATCCATGTTCACTTTATGCCATTTATTATTGCTTTTACAATAAACTAAACTCATTTCCTACTTTAACAGATCCTGAAATGAGTGTTGAGTTGCCAGGCTTGCCACTGTTACATACAGAAGATTTACCATCTTTTGTTCATCCTTCAATTTCATATGGTATCTTTCCTAAATTGTTCTCAGATATGTTCCGATACATTAAGAAGTATAAATGGGTTCTCGGGAACTCATTCTTTGGGCTTAAGAAAGATGCTATTGAGTCCATAGCTGATCTCTGCCCTATTAGTCCCGTTGGTCCTCTAGTTCCTTCATCACTTCTTGGTGAAGATGAGGATCACGATACGGGTGTCGAGATGTGGAAAGCAGAAGATACCTGCATAGAATGGTTAAACAAGGAAGCCTCTTCTTCAGTTATATACGTATCCTTTCGAAGCGTTGTTGTCTTATCAGCAAAACAAATGGAGTGCATTGCAAAAGCCCTGAAGAACCGTAACAGTCCATTTATTTGGGTGGTTAAGCAACCAGACTTACCAGAACCTGATGGTGCAGGACAATTGCCGTTAGGATTCTTGAAGGAGACCAAAGACCAAGGGGTGGTTGTATCATGGTCTCAACAAACCAAAGTTTTAGCCCACCCAGCCATTGCGTGTTTTATAACTCGGTGTGGATGGAATTCGATGTTAGAAACAATTGCTGCGGGCATGCCGGTGATTGCATACCCCCATTGTACAGACCAGCCAATAAATGCAAAACTTATTGGTAGTGTTTTTTGCATTGGTTTAAGGGTATGTTTGGAATTGTAGTAATTATTGTGATTATAATTTAAAAAAAGTTGTTTCATGAAAAATATTTTTGGTTGAGATTGATTTGTTATTTATATATGTTTGATTAACATTGTGGTTGAAATTGAGATTGAATAAAAAATAATTCATATATTTGGTTAATAATGCTTTTAAAATTGAGGTTATAAAATAATTTTAAAAAATATATATTAATATATATAATTTTTAATTTAAATATTGTAAATTTAACTATTATTATTATATCATGAAATAAATAATACTTTATATAAAATATTTTTCATTGTTGTATTAAACTATCTACAATTCCATCATGTATAACATACATCTAATAAGAACTATAATATTTTTGGTTTCTTAAACACGCAACAATATAAGATAAAACATAATTAGGAATAAAATTTAAATTGCGATCAAATTCTACAAATGTTATGTTATTAAGCGATATCTATCTAATTCATGTAATGTCATTGAATAATATTAAATATTAGTTTTTTTAAATAAAACACAATTAAAAAATAAAAAATAAAAATATTTTTTTTTACGGTCAACCTCAGTTTAATATATGTTAAGTTTTGTACAGGATACAGTCTGGCTGGAATTGAAAGATGTATCAGAGAGATCATGGATGGACCAAAGTCTATGGAGCTTAAATCCAATGCAAGGGAATTGAGGATCGCGGCAAGAGAGGCAGTTGCCGGTGGTGGCTCATCCGACAAGAATATTGTGTTGTTTGTAGATGAAATTATTGAGAGTTGGGGTTCGATTGGAGTATGCAATGAAGAATGCACGGTTCCGTGAAGGGACTGTGCAATAATAAATCATGGCATGCAGATTAATAAAGGCAAGGACGTTAATGATAATCCTGCCAAGTGATGGTTGTACGCACGTTGTTTCCTCGTCAATAAAATAAAATAATGCTCAATATGTTGATACTGACGGAATATTCATGCCTGCAACAGTAGTTAATTCTCTAAAGCGAAGAAAATGAGGTGAACTCCCTTTTTCTAATCTTCTGCATAAGAAATTATGTGTTTTTTTATCTTTTATGGCTTAATCTCATCCATTTCTTGGTATTGTTATATAACATGATTTTTAATTTTTTTTTTATTTTATAATATATTAAAATTATTATTTTTTTATATATTTTTTAACATTAATCTATCAAAATTATTGAAATAAAAACTTTAATTTAATAACGAAAGTAACAACTTTTCACTGAAAATAAATGTCCTTTCTATGGAGCCCCACAAGAAACGTCAACCTCTTTTGCATAGGTTTCACTTTCCAGCACCAACATCAAGGTTTCGTACCTGGTTTCATTATTGATGCGCTGATAGTGTACGAGGATCGTGCATGGCCGACATCCTTTTCTACCATTAAATTAATGTTTTTCAAAAACACTTATAGAAAAACAAACAAACAAACAATATCATATCACTTAGCACAACAATAGATGTCTTGGCTTGTCCCACCAGCAATCAGTAATCCAGGACCACGTTTTGTTTGCACCAAAGAAGTTAATAGTTAGCGACTGCATTTCAATTTTTTTATTTTTTATTAACATAAATGTATGTGGGCACACACCTCAACTAAAATATTATTAAAAATAAGATGTCATTCAGAATAATCCCTACTTTCCAGAGTTATGCTTGTAGATTCTACTCTGACCTTCTAAAAGGCCAAAAACAATCATGTGAGACCACACCATGATTCATTCTCAATAATTAAGCATGACAAGTGTAATAAAAATTATAAATATAGACAATGATTAAAAGATCATGTAATAATTCAATACTTTAATAACAAATACTACCATAAAATCATAAAATCAATAAATATTAAAAAAAATATCAAAAAATATTTTTCTTTGTAAAATTCCAATAAATTTTTCCTATAAAAATATACTCTCAATATATATTAAAAAAATTACAATGAAAAAAATTTAAACAAAGCGAAAAAACAATAATGTATTTTTTTTACCAATAAAATTTATTTTATTAATAATTTTGTGAGTGAAATATTAATATTCTTCATTATATCAATTATAAATAGAATTATCAAAAAAAAAAATTATTGATATTTTCTATAGTGTTCTGAACTATTACTCCTCAGTTCACGAGATCAGACAAAAATGGCTCACAATTTACGTCTTCTGCAACGTGAAGCAGACCTAGAACTAATGGTCAAAACAGCTGGAATAGTTGGAAGCTGTTGAAGTGACACCGTTTAACTGGTCTCGAGTCCTGCTTCAAAGCATATATTTTTCTTTGTTTTGGCTCTGAAATGAATTCTTTTACCTGCTTTTGGAGGTTTGTAATTTTGTGGGAGCTTCGGCTTCGCTCATCAGGATGCTTTTCTTTCCGCTTGAGTGCCTTTTCGCTGGCTTGCCCCCAAAAGAAAAGGAGGCTATTCAGCTAGCGTAGGCCATTTCAATAACTATCTTTATTTATGATTAATGGCAATGGAGATTTCCTTTTGAATTGGTCGAGAGGGAAGGAATTTAACTCGAATTTTTTCAAGACCTTTATCACATGGTGAAACTTTTAAATTCATATAAGGTATTTGTTCTCTACGAAAGCTGAATCGTGGGCTGCTATCTACGGACCAGATTTAGCCTGGAATTTAGGATATACCAGGACTGAGCTAGAGGTTGATTCTGCAGTGCTTGCGACAGTTTTGAGAGGAAACTCATCCAGGATCCCATCCTGACAGAAACTGAACAGGTGTTTTCCAGGCAATGGGAGGTGCTGATCCGACACGCCTTCTGCGAAGGCAATTGTTCGGCGGATTGACTAGCTAACCTTGGCCATAACGTTCCTTTAGATTGTCAATATTACAGTCTCCCATTAGAGGGTGTTCTTCCTCCATTTTATGTTCACAACCACCCCGTGTCTGACTGGCTTGTAATTTTATTTTTCTGGGCTTATACCCCGTTTACCACTGAAAAAATCAGGCATTTGCATTAATAAGATAAATCGACTAACCTTACAAAATCTTAGTAATTAAATAAAAATCATGAGATGGGCGCTGAATGCTTAGTACTTACGGTAAATTCATGCAATTAATCTTCACGACATAAGATGATTTAGATGGGTTTTAGCCTGTAAAGAGATCGATCAAAACAGTCACGTACGGGTATCTTAATTAAGGGTTATTGAGTTGAACTCCTAATTCTTGAGGTAGAATGGTTTCGGTGCAGAGTTCTATATATGACATCTTGGCTGGGACTTAACTGGCAACTAAAATTAGACGGAGCACTCCTGAGTGCAATTGGAAGTTGCTGGGCGGAGGACTCCAAACGATACAAATATCGATTGTATTGCTGAGTGCTGACTGAGAGAAACTTACAACAGCACAACAAATTGTGAGGATATGATACGTTGGTTTCCGTAAAGAAATTCGACACCATGAACGATGGCGTGGATTAAAAAAACAGATTTGAACGTCAGCAGGAACCGAATATCCCTCGTTATCATGACGTACTGGAAAGCAAATGGTAGCGTAGAATCCAGAAAACTATTTATTAGTTCTCCCCGGTCATTATCCCACCTTCATGTAAGTGGGAGTATCTAATCTTCCACTTAGTATTAATAGAGGTTTAATTGGTGGCATAAATTATAGTATTATTCATGCCTCATGTCTTCCCAACCTTATCTATAAATAGACAAGCTAAAGAGGTGAAGATGTGTATGATATACAGAGTAAAAAATCAAGAGAGTGGGAGCAGCAGAGAGAGCTTTAGTGTAGAGTTGAGAATAATTTTCTCCTCAACCTTATCTATAAATAGACAAGCTAAAACGCTGAAGATGTATATGATATACAGAGTAAAAAATCAAGAGAGTGGGAGCAGCAGAGAGAGCTTTAGTGTAGAGTTGAGAATAATTTGTGTGTGTTTGAATGCTTGAATGTCTCAAAAACTAGTATCAGAGCTTGTTCTTGAAGTATTATTTCTTTGAGTGATTAATACAAAATGGTAGTTCTGTGGAGTAGGTGACACGACTAAAAGATTGATGTCTTCTCCCAAGTGCAGGAGTGTCGAAGTAATAAATAACCCGGCAAGACCGGGGTCGAACCACAAGGAGGTTAAGTGTATAAATTATAGATGACAACAACAACAACAACAACAACAACAACAACAACAACAACAACAACAACAACAACAACAACAACAACAACAACAACAACAACAACAACAACAACAACAACAACAACAACAACAACAACAACAACAACAACAACAACAACAACAACAACAACAACAACAACAACAACAACAACAACAACAACAACAACAACAACAACAACAACAACAACAACAACAACAACAACAACAACAACAACAACAACAACAACAATAATAATAATAATAA